CCTCCCATAAACTCAGGACATGCTTGTACTATGCCTTGAAACCATGTTTTCCACTTTTCTTCAAAATCAAGTAACATAGCCATAACTCTATATCTCACAGTTCTGTTAACCTCAAGTGCTCTAACCTTTTTCATATAAATATACAAGTTATTTGCAAGCTAAGACACGATTGGAAACACTCCAAAACTCCCTGAAAACTCAAATTGCACAAAAAACTCCATTGTTGTGCAGAACCTGACCAAAAACTCCCATCTCTCAAACCACTCGTGCGTTTCCTCTCATAATCATCTCAAAAGCTTCCTTACTTCAAATACAACTCATCCCAATCCCTGTTCCTAAACTGTAACACCATTTTCACCATTGTCCAAGCTCAAAAAATAGAGCATTGCAGTTGGAATTCTCCAGGCCATTTCAGCCACTCTCAACTCAAGCAAAGCATTGCATTAGCTTCCTAGAGACTCAAGGAAGTTAACCTGATCATTCCAGCACCTTGAATCAAGCTCAAACTCATTTCACGATTTCCAATTTTTAGGTATTTTTCTTAAACTTCTATCTTTTAATTTAGGCTTTGTTAGGCTTGCATTTATGAAGATAAAATGTAGAAATCATTGCCCTGAAACTATACACGTCCATAGATTTCATTTATGTTGCTTGAGTAGGGAGAATTTTGAGTTTGAACCTCTGAAAATATTTAGGTCAGAATTTGGTACTGTTAGAAATTCATGCTCATCTTTGAGAGTTAGCTTAAGTTATTTACATATTCAGAATCGTGAGGAAATTTCTAACAAGTTTGATGTTGGAAGTTTTATGAATGGATGAGAAATGAATGAGTTACAGGTTCTTTGGCTGGAGGTTGAAGATGAAGTTCATTCAGGACAAAACTTATGTTATAAATTTATTGTTTTGTTTAAGTTAACAGATCTATCACCACCCCAGTGGTTAAAGCGCGCGTCTGTCACCTTTGGGACCTGGGTTCGAGTCCCAATGGTACCCTTTTGGTTCTTTTCCATATTTTTTTTCCATTTTTTGTTTGAAATCAGGCGCCTGGGCTTCCCCCCATTTGGGCTGTTTATTTTTGCTGACCTCTAACCCTTGTTTACTTTCACACCCCTGGGCCTTTATTTTATTTTTTCTTTCTCTTTTTCTTTATTTTATTTTCATTTCACATTATTTTTTTATTACTATTATTACTTTTATCTTTATTATTTTTATTATTAAAAAATATAAAAAAATATAAATTTTTTATTTATTTACACTTATATATTTTATTTTCTTCATAATACAAAAAACTAAAAAAAAACATTTTTCTTAATAAACTAATTTCTTTTTGTAATTAATATTTAGATAATTAAGTTTAATTATTATATTATCCTCTTGTAAATTAAAGTTAATTTAGAACTTAGGTTTATTTTAATTAATTAATTTCCATATTATTTTCCTTAATTTAAAACCATTTCATAAAAAACCCTAAAAATATTTTAAACTTAATTTCTTTTCTTAATTAGTTTAACTTTAATTTTATTTAATTTTAATTAATTGTTTTTCTTTGATTAGGTCAAGACAATACCCTTTTATTAAAAAAACCAAACAAAAATCATTTTTTTCCATTTTGCATTTGTATATTATTTTTCAATTCTTGTACATTTATTCAATATGGTTGTAATAGATAACTAGGTTTAATTTTCTTGCAAAATTTCCATTTGTAAATTTGTACACCCCCTCCCATCATGATGTAATAGCTTAGTATTTGTACTTTCTGCAATTTATCGCTTTATATAAATGCTAGTAATTAGGGTTTTGTACGGAAAGATAAAATCAACAAGTTAGCAAACCCTAATTCAAGATAAAACAATGCATGTAAATCAACACACTTGCACATTTGCACCCTTAGGGTAATTCCACTTTGTTGCCTTACAAAAATGGCTATGTTATGCATGTGGGGTATCTTAGCAAAAAGCAATCAAAATACAAGATCATAGTCCCTCGATGACGCTATCAAATGTTGCCTTTCAAAATGATCTTAGTCCCTCGATGACGCTATCAAATGTTGCCTTTCAAAATGATCTTAGTCCCTCAAAGAGAATTGCTAAGATATTTCACAATATTTCTATCATGGCTATACGATGACTCACACCCGTCCCTTTACATCCAAAGATAAGGCTTCTTACCAAATCAATGGTAAGATAGCAATATCAAAGGAAGGAAGAAATGAACAAAGACTTTTGAGTAGGTATATTGTTCCTAGTTGCTTGCTCATTTTCAAATCAAATATCCTTGCTTATTTTCAAAACAAACACCAACACTTTCAAAAATACTTTCAAAACATTTTCCAAACTTGAAAGATTTTCAAAAGCTCAACACTTTGTATACGTTCTTACGAACGAGAACTATTACAAAGTTTGCCTAAACGATGACGCCTTTTCAAAATACTTCCAAAAAACCATACAAAGCACATTTTCAAACAAAAGCAAGTGATCTAGCAAGCAACTAAGAGCCCATAGATAACTATGGATGAAAAGGGTGCTAGCACCTTCCCTTTTCATAATCTACCCCCCGAACTCAATAAATAATCTCAAAGGTCTTTCGTGTTCTTTCCAGCCTTTCCTTTTGGATAAAAGAAAAGTCGATGACGACTCTTGCTAACCGCAACATTTTCAATAAAACGCAAAACACCCAAGTCAGTTCTCCCACCGTATCACACCATCATTAAGATATTTTTCCAATTTTAAGGCATGTGGCCTTAGGCTCGCAGGTAAGGATGTGACACTATTCTCTAGGGAATTCAATTGCACTTGAATTTGCTTGTCTTCCCAAGGTAAAATATAAAATTTGATTTTAAATTTTATATCTCCTTTTTAATCCAACCTGCTGCTCGCTTCATCTATATAAAGATTTCCTGGTTCTGTGGGTGAATATCTTCTCATTTTTGAAAGTCAACTTCCCTTTTTGTGGGAGCAATTTCTTTTCCTTTCAGAAGACTTTGCTTGAGCACTTTCTTTCTTTTGTAATGAGGCTTTTTCACTTTGCATGACATCTACCCTCTTCACCTTCTCCAATTAACTATAGGTACCATTCTTACCCTAAGCTTATTTTCTCATATCAAGTTTTCATTTTTGCAATGGCTTATATAAATGATCACACCGTAAACCTCTCTAGTGTTTGTGGGAATATTAGTTACTCTTCCTTTGTTATAAATAAACCTAGACTAGTTCAAATTTCAACCTTTTAGTTACTAGCCATTCTGATCCAATTATTATAAATGTGCATGACAATTATGAGTCAGAGAGGTTATCTAACAATTCTCTTCATTGGGAAACTTCTCCTAATGGATCTTTCTTCAATGCTCTTCTTTTTTAGACAATGTTAAAAGTGATCACTCAAACAGTTATGCACATGCTCTCTCCATAATCATTGGAGGTTCATCTCTTCCTATTTTGGCTTTGCTTGAGGTGGATATTACTCTTTAGAATAGGGAAGAAGGTCGCCCTTTCATCAGAAATTATTGTTTCGCCTTTGGTCGGGATCCAAGTGATGTTGGTATTAAGGATCATATAAAGCTTGGGACTCAATATGTTAGGGTCGATTGGCTCAGGCCATTAAATATCGTTCGGGCTGATGAGATACCTCAAAGAAGTACTTGTTTTATGAAGTCGGCTGATGCAAATAGATATAGCTGGCTGGATTATGAAATACTAGGAACTCTCTTCACTTCATATAATTGTGTGACTGTGAGAGAGGCCAAAATAGAAGTGGGTTATCCTTAAAATTGGTTGATTATTCTAATAGGGTCAAGTAAAAGGATTTATAGTAGCTTCGATAATGCTTTATCATTTTATACGAGTGTCTACTTACTTGGTTAAAGTTATGGAGACCTTTTATCAGATTTGAAGAGGAGGTGTTAAGGTTCTTAAAGATTTCCCCAACACATTGCAGCAGGGCTGGACGAAGACGGGTTTTAACTTCCCCATACCCAAACCCAAATCCAAAATAAATACTCGTTACCTGCCCCAAACCCAAATCACAAATAAATACTCATTACTTTCCCCAAACCCAAATGAAGATAAATAATTGAACCCAAAATTCTTCCCATCCCCGCATTAGAATCAATATTTTAAAATCGAGATAGTTCATTTCCATAAACTCATAATATACCTTGAACTATAACGGATATAAGAAATAATAGTTTAAAATAATATTGAAAATGTTCAAAGATATACTTCATATATTTCAAATGATAAAGTATAATCATATATTAATGTATTAATTAAATAATTAATATTCTAAATTATCAAAATTAAATATTCAAAATTATTAACGAGGATGGTTTGGGGGGGGGGGGGGGGGGGGAGGTTTCGGGTGGGTACTAATGTCCCCATTACCCTTCCTATATCCACATCTTAAAATTGGAGAAAAACCAAACCTAAACAAAGTCAAAGCGGGTTTTCCCATCGAATTAGAAGTTATGGGATGATTACCGACTTTGGAAGAACTCGTACCAACTATTTTTCCACATTTTTATCATGATGCACACTTCATAAGATAATATCTGGGAGTAGGGATTCATCTACCTTAGCCACGACGTTCCCTGAATTAGTGCTTATTCTAAGAACTAGGACGATTTCCAATATCTTACTTTTAGTTTCCATACCTTACCTCCAAGTAAATGTATAAATAGTGTTTGAAAGTATTGGGTGTGGGTTCATTTTAAACTAGAACTTCATTGGTATGGAATTTCCTTGGATTCTCTTACTCCCTAAGAGGTTAAGATGAAGGAACATCTTAATGCTTTTTAGGAGGTTATCGGCTATGAAGAAGGGTTAGACCCTTCCGAGGTAAGGCCCTCAATGCAGAGGGAGCAATTAAATGATACCCGTACTATTATGGAAGGGGCCAATAGTCTTGTAAAAAAAGAGATTTTTACTGAGGATAAAGAGTCATCCCCTCGCTAGCGCTCACCCTATTTTTTTTGGACATGGGTTATTTTTATACTTGTAGATAAGATGACTTCCTTGAGGAAAGTTTTTAATATGGCCAAAGAACAGGAAGTTAGGGTTACCGTTACCACTTTTTCAGTTCAAGCTTCTACTCCTCCTGTTACTGATGATGTTCTTGCCAACACTCAAGCTTCTGATGGAATTAGTGCCATTGGAATTAAAAATATGGTTTTTTACTCTCTTATTAATAATAAAAGGGATTGTTGAGGACCACAACTCTCTTCAAGAGTAATTTTGGACAATGTTGGGTATGGCTTAATGTAGCAATATGAGTCATGTTCTCCTATGCTCAAGTAATCATACATTCTTCTGTTCAGAATTCCTTGCACTTTTTAGAAGGAACTTGCTTCCATTTTTGGGGAAGAGCTTGCATATCTCTATAATCTCCCTGAAGCAGAGAAGATTTAACTCTTTTTTAGGCAACTTTCTATTCCAACCAGATGACTTCTCTATTTTCCCTAGTTGTTGCTGGTCAGGGTGACGGTCGAGATATGGGAAACCCTTCTAAGGAGAGGGATACCTGGAACGATAAATATGATGCAATTGAGGATAAGAGATCCTAACTTCATAAGAAAGTGATGTCTCTTCATGAAGAAGTGGACACACTGAAGTCTCTTTATAAGGAAGTGAAAGTTCATGGGACCCCTTCTTCCTTTGGTGCCAATAACTCCGAGCTTCAATATTCTCTGGAGATAGAGAAGAAGTCTTGTGAAGAGGATGTCCGCATTGCTTCAACAATGGAAAGGTTATGTAGGCTCTTTATAAGGAGAATGAGTCTCACGAAAAGGAACATGATATATACGAAGGATAATTTTCTGACTTGAAAAAGAAGGTTGATGTGAAACTTAACAAGACCCTCAAAGATGTGTATGATGCTTTCAATCTAGTAGGTGACCAATTGGATGATCTTCGTCTGGGTTCCTAGGTTATCTAATCATAACTTAACCCGAAGAAGATGACTTAGGATGGGGCCTTGGTGGATGATGGTGGTGCTTAGCCCCTAAGGCGGTAATGCATGATTTTGTATTTTTGTATATTATTGAATTGGGAGTTATGCCTTGATGTTTCCTTGCAATACGTGTAAAAACAATGTTTATTTATTTACCTTTTTTGTTTTCTATCTTTATGTTCACCATACTTTACTCAACATTCTTTGTAGTAACTTCTGGCTTTGAGTAAGGTTGTGACTTCTGGCCTCGCCATGCTTAAATTTATTTGCTTCTTTCAATTAGGACTTGCATAATTTATGGTATCTTTCTTAGTTCTTTCCCTTTGGGAGCAACCAATATGACCTTTGGAACTCATGGTCACCCATCCCTTTTGGAGAGAACTAGCGTAACCATTAAGCTTTGTTTCTACATGTCTGATCGATAGGAATTGTTATAACCATAAAGCTTTGGAGTTGCCTATCCTAGTCGAATGGTGTTACATTAACCATAAAGCTTTGTTGATACCTATCCTAGATGAGGGAAATTGGAGTAAGTCTTTAGTATCACTAGGAAGCAACACCTCATCGAGGGTGGGGTTCCCGTCTCTGTGTTGCACCCCAAAATTTACCCTCCTAATTTTACTTTTATCTGACTTAGAATTTGCAATTCATCCGCACATCTTCAGTAGGTCATTCGCATAATCATGCATTCATTCAATAAGGCACCATGTTTTAAAGGATCATTGGTCATACAAGTTAGTGTTTCCATATAGGTTGAGTTGGGTGTGTCAATTGAGCTTTATTCAAGTATTGTTTCTAATGGAGCGTGGAAGGGAGTTAGAGTTTAGATTATCCTCAACTGTTGGTCAAGATATATTGTGTACTACTCATTGAGGATTCATCTTGTGTGGCTTAAGGTGCAAGGCATTAAAAATTTAAAGTTCAATCATGAGATATTAGGGTTTCATTTCAAAGAATATTCTTCTTTCTATGCTTCAAAGTCTCATTTTAATGCAAGATCTTTGGTTATTATTCAAGCCAAAACATTTATGCATGTGCTGAAGTTCGTCAATTAGCAAAGGGTTTGTCAAAGTAGGGTTGCAAATGTATTGAGATTACTATGGAGGATTCGTTGATCATCAATTCAAGGCGTCTTTTGCTTGAGTCATAGGGCATGTATCTTGGTACAAATGAATAAGGTTGAATACATCAAAGGATAAGATTGGTGCTTTCACAACTTGTTTTAAGTGAAGTTTGATTTGGATTTGAACATGAGATTAGGATTTCATAATCAAGTATGGCATGTTAATGGTTTGGATTCAATTCATGGAGGATCCCATTTGATTTCAAGTTTTGATTCAAGCTTTAAATCCATGGTCAAAGTTAATTAGTTGGATTTTTTTACCAAAGTTACCTCTATTTCATGATGTTTGAATTAAAAATTGGAAAAGATGAATAACACGTTCATGTCATTAAGCTAGAATCAAGGTGTATTCAAGATGGTTTTTGTTCAAATAAAATTCATTCAATTACCATCATTATCATCAAGACAAGAAGGATTATTCAAGTTTCAAGAAAACTATGAAACAATTTCGTTCATCTTCATTTCATATTCATCCAAGGTTTGCACAAGTTGAAGAGTGAAAAAAAATTCAAAGTTTTATTACATATTTAAGGCAAATTATTGTTACAAATTTTATTACCATCCAATTACATTACATCACATTATATAAAAGACATTTACATGGAAGCATATTCCTAATCTTCATTAATCAATTTTTCTTCAACTTTATCCAACACAAGCCAAGGCCTGTAACATTTAAAACTCTATGCATTAAACCAGTACCACAATTCATCATCAAATGTGCCATGAGACCCTTATCAAACACGGATGTATGTTAATACATCAAATAAACTAATCCAATGTTTTGTTCAAGACTATGTTGTTGCTGTCCTAAAAAACCAAACTTGTAAATCTGTCAAAACCACCATGCACATACACCTGACCTGCTACCTACACAAAACTAAAAAAACAACCCCACATAAACCAAAAAATAACCTTATAATATGTCAAGCATAACAGTCCAAAAACTTATGCCAAAGCTTGCACAAAAATGGCAAACAAAAACTGCATCAAAAAAGTGACAAAGCAGGGCATCACAAATTGTTCAAATTCTATTTAATCCCAAAAAAAAAAAAACTCCCTTCTTTCACACTATATAAACTCCCCTCTAACACTGCTCAAGGGACCAAGGTCGACACCCTAATCAACCTTCAAAAATCTCACTCAAATTCTATAGAATATCATAAAAAACCTCTGCTAGAATCTCTCTGTAACATTCCCCTTGCCTCACTTAAACCTCATCATACCTCATTAAACAACAACAAAATACAACATATAACATATACGAACCAAAAGAAATAGACGGAGTAGAAGAATCACATTACCTGAAGCTTTTCCCAGAGAGAGTCGCCTCTCCGAAAGTAATTCTATTTTCTCTTGCAGATTCTTCTTCTCTCCAAATTGATGTTGTATCGTTCTTTTTTTTTTATAACATTTTGATTCCTATTGTTATGCGTTTGATTACCTGTTGTTGTTGTTGTTATTATTAGTCGTGTTTGTGAGTTTTTATTCTGGTTTTACAATTTCATAATATATAGATGTCGTGAGCACAAGGAAAAGGTGGGAGAGAATGGCGATTTCCGAATGTGGTTTAGAATTGGTGGTGGCTCTAATAGCAGTCGGAGCCAACCCCCGATGCGGCTGCCGGTGAGTTTCAGTTTTTGTTAATGAAATGGTTGAAGCGAGTCAGAGAGAGAAAAGAGAAGGTGGAGTGAGATGACAGCGAGATGGGCGAAAAGACGAGAGGAATCGAGAATGAGTTCTAAGTTTTGAGTTTTTTTGTTGTTGTTTCACGTTTGGAAGAAAAGAAGAACATGTGAAGGTTGGAATAAAAAAGGCGATATATTTAGTTTTAGGGTTTTAGTAGCCTATTTGTTAAAAGAATGATTGGATCCTACAACTCAGATCCAATGTTTGACTAAGCCCAACGAAAATATTCCCAGCACTAGTACATCACTTGGTTGTTGGGCTTAAGCCTTTTATCTTATTCTTCTTTTTTCTTTTCTTTTCTGAGTAGGTAATATTAACAAATGAAGAGTTGATCGTAGTAGAATGTCTATACTGAGGTCTTGGACTCGACACCTATGGAGAGCATTTTTGAACTTTTTTATTCCCCTTGTTTTTTTTCTTTTTATTCACATCTTTGTTTTATTATTATTATTATTATTATTATTATTATTATTATTATTATTATTATTATTATTATTATTATTATTATTATTATTATTTGGTTTAAATTCTTTACTTAATAAATACTAAAAAATATTAAAATTTTATTTTCCTTTTGTAGTCAAGTTTACTTTTCATAGTAATAAAATATATTAGATTTTCGTGTAATATTTCTCTTAACATAAAAAATGATTAAAAAATTAGAATTAAGATTTTTTATAATAAATTAGATATTTATTTTTGTTTGATTGTATAGTTGATTTCTTAACAGGTCTCTTTTAGAAATTTCACTAATCAATTAAATTTATTTTGATCTTTTTTGTGTTGATTAGACTTTAGGACCGACTTATGCCTGATACCTTTTTAAGTTAGATTATTCCTTTCAAATCTCAACTTTAGACACATATTGGCATGACATCATTAGGGCTTTAGTTCCCTTTAAGTTTTGCTTTCTTCCTTTTGCATTACATTCATCTAAAACAAAAACATCTTTTCTTAATAAAAAAAAACACTTAATAATTATTCAAATCATTTTCAAAACTAAATGTGTGAAGTAGTAAGTGCTCATTAGATGAGGGACTATTTACTATTTACCCCTAACAAAAACATTCCAACAAATCCAAATCATTTTGCTTTAGGGTCATTTTTCTTTAAAACCTTTTTTACAAAAGGACATGTTAATTTCTTTCTACCGCAATCAAATTCGTCTAACTGATGGAATGCGAATTTAGTATCGTCCATAAAAAACACATAATAAACAAACATTTTCGAGAAGAACTGCAAAATTCTAATTTCCCTTGGGATACGTAGGCATTGAGTTGTAAAACTCGGACGAACTCAATAATAAAAACTTTTTGTTTTCCCTCATTAGTTCATTCATGCATTCTCTTATCAAGTAGACTTTAGATAACACACCCTTTGATTAGAACAACAAGAGTGGACCCGTGGAGTACCATGAATATGAGAGGTGTTAATATATTCTCCTAACGTAGTCGATTTATGTACCATTCTCTTTGTCGCAAGACCATATTCTTTCCCATCTTAGAGATTTTTTTAATATATTTCTTTTTCACTTTAAAATAAATAAAATTTAATGACAACTTCATTGTTTATTATTTTTCGTGGTGCGACATTTGTCCCTAGATTTTTATCCCAATTCAAGGTGGAAATATCATAGGCTCCACTCCATATGTTGTTGAAGTGGCTATTTATGGTATATAGGTTTGGTTTCTCAAAATAATTACAATTGATAAGGAATAAAGTTCACTAGTGATGAGGTGGTTGTCGTCAAGCAAGAATTTAGAACAAAACTTATACTTTTTTCTCTTTTAATATCGGATTGAATATGGGAGTAGAATTGTTTACGATGGTGTGGGGGTGGGGGGAGGTGGGATTGAAGACATTCCCCTATTAAAAATTGTTTTAAATTTTTTTTCAAAATCTTAATTTTAAAATTGTGTGCATGAGCAAAAGTTTTTGAAAAATACGTTACAGATTACTTGCATGATTTAATCAATGAAATTAAAATGATGAAATTACTAATGATCAATGTGACAATTAATCAAATTCAATTCACGCCAAGATATTAATTGAGCAAAATTTTATTAATCAAATTAAAAATATAATTATTATAATATAATATTGTATATATATAATTACCAGAAAAAAATATTCAAAAAACAAGATCTAACAAAAACCTAAGTTTAAAACTCTAAAATTATAAAGCAATAAAACCTTAAAATCATTAGATACTAAAAAGGGATAAATAACATAAAAACATGCAAATTATATAGAAATTAAAATAGAAAAATATAAAGAATTATATATCATTATTTATACTATTTCGTTGTGTCTCTCTTACTCCCTACTCTAGTAATTTAGTCGTATAAATGGGTGGCAGAGTTCAAACCCATTTTATCTACATGCTTTGAAAGAGTAGTGCATTAAATAATGCAGCATGGATTGAAGAGTAGTGTATTATTGAAGTGGGGAGAGCTAAATCAAAGCTTGTTTTCCAAATATTTCTCTTATATATTTTCAATAAATAAAATCCTACAAAAGTCATGTTTTCTAGTTCTTGTATTTGGTAATTTGGTAATGAAAACACATGTTTCTAATTTTGCATTGCATGGTGACATCTAGCCTTCATACGTA